GATGACGGATCGGTCATGTCTTCGCCGGAGTGGTGAGAGTTCTCAGAAGAAGTAGCAGAAACTGAAAAATAAAGGAAAAGTGTTAATGGAAGAGCCTTTAGGCGCCTCGAGGAAGAGCAGAGAGGGAAAAGGAGAAGAATTCAGCGGCTAGGGTATGAGTAGAATTTCAAAGGAGAAAACCGACAAAATCGAAGAAACAACAGGAAAAATTTAAAATTAACAAAGGAGAACAGAGTGCGAGGAACTTAACTCATGGTTGTAGCAGAGAGTCGATGGAGAACTTGAAGACGATGAATGCCAAAAGCACCGAAAGTAGAGAAATTTGATTTGTAGGAAAATTTAGGGCACAAGTATGTTATGATTTGCAGAGGCGAGAAAAGTCGAAAAATCGCTAAGTACAGTATTTATATGAGTACAGAGAAAGATAAGATGGAAAGTTGGTGCAGATAGCCGTTGGATTAAAGTAAGATCTAACGGCCGGGAGAATTAAAGGGGTGCAGATAACGAAGCGGCGCAAATCGCGAGGAGGCATGACGATTAAAGGTACTGAACAGAGGGGACGCGTGGAAGACGAAAACCGCATTAATAATAAAAAGGAGATAAAGGGCGTCTGAAAAGGCACTTCAAAATCGGTCAGAGGGTCAAGAGGGGAAGCCAAAACTAACCAGATGATCGAAAAGTCAACAGATCGAAGAAGGCACGAGTTCACTCTTAGATTGAGTCATTTAGACTCGACCAGATTGGGGGTAACTAGATTATATGGGATGTTATATACTGGAGGAATATTCCGGTTCACCGGGCCGTTCGTATAAACCCAATACGAAAAATGCCACGGGGATCGAGAAATAACAAACTGAGAGGAAGTGATCGAGCATCGGAGAGGACCTGGTCGAAGATCGACCTGCTAGAGGAGAACTCATTTAATCGACTACTCGACGAGGAGAGAGCAATCAGGGGTGTGGTTTGCACGCGAGAAAGTGCGTGGACTTCGTCAGAAGATCTCAAAGGAATATTCAAGGGAATAATTACCCTCTATTCAGAGGGGCACGTGGCGAGAGTACATTGGTGCAGAGCAATAGTGGCGATAAGTACCTCTGACACACACACTGCGTGTGTACGGACGGGCAGCGCTGGGAGGACAGCTCATCAAATTCGGGCAGCTCCTAGGGCAGGTATCTCACTTCTATATATATAGGAGTGACTTACGATTTATCCATTTTTCACTTTGGAGGATTGAGTAAAACACATACTTACTTAAGCATCGAAGGCTCTTCATTGGAAAAAACCCCCAGTGTGAAAATTCTTTGCAGGTACGCGGCGTTCTACTGGCGAGGAAGAGGAAGGCGAGCCGATTTCAAGCCGGTCGGAGTGTTTTTCGTTACCATATATTTATACATGACAATGATAAGTATTGACCGTTAGATCAGCAAGGGATCTAACGGTCCTAACGAAGCGCAGAATTCGAAGGGTCGACGATTGAGGTGACGCGTATCACTTCAGGGTTTTTGAAATTTGAAAAGTTGTCCGAATGTCAGACTTATCCAGAGAAGAAATCATATGAGACTGAGAGGTATCCCGGCCAAGTAACGAGACGAGTTACCTACATGACGAGTAAAAGAGGATATTACAATTCAAATCAGAAAGCTACGGCACTCAACCACCAAATTTAATCTTAAGCATTCGACTGCTTAGAGTAATTTTTTGGGGGGACTAGATGATATAGCCATATAAAGATATACCGGCCTAAAGGCTCCCTACTCGACCGGAAGGTTGCTCAGACCGTTCACATGTCGACATACGCCCGTCGACATGCTCAAGTCGACTTCCACAAAGTCGACTCAACATATGATTGGTGGCGAGAAATGGCAGAACCCCTACAAGTCGACTCATAGAAGTCTACTTCGTTCAGTCGACTCCCTAATAGTCGACATCTATTTGAGAAGAGCGACAAGAGCGTAGCCTCCGAATAAGTAGAAGATCCCGAGTCGACCTCTTCAGACTCGAGGCCGACTCCGCGCACCTCGAGACATGAAACACACTAACGACCCAACATACTTATAACATTTCTGGGAACCTCTTGTCCTCCAATGGATAAGAAGGAATCTTGTCATGACTCAGCAATGAGGGGAGACGAATCGACCAGGGCAATTTAGACCTTTCAGGTCAACCAACCAGGGCATTTTGGGCACTCCAAGTAAGTGTTTTCTCCTATATAAAGGAGGTGAAGTAACCTTAAACCCTAACTTCCATTCACTTCACACTCCTCAATATAGCTGATGCTGCTCTCTCAGAGCAGCCTCTCTTCATCTCTTTCACGTATTGACTTGAGCGTTGGAGGCTCTACGCCGGAAACACTTCCGGCGTTGAGTTCTTGCAGGTGTTGTTGCGGTCTAGCAACGGTTTAAAGGCGATTCAAGCAGATATGAGCTCAAAACCATCGATTTACTTCAGATCCAAAAGTAGACCCATCATTTTTCTGGCAACGGTTCGAAGGCGATTCAAGCAGATCTGAGCTTAAAACCATCGGTTCTCTTCAGATGCAGAAGTAGACCTATCATCTATATAGTTATTGATTTTTGTAAATATATTTAATGTTTATTATTGAATATTGAATCTTATAATATAATATTCCCCAAATAAATATATCCCGTGCTTGCTTCGCACGGGTCACGTACTATATATATCCCGTACATTTTTCTGTATTCATGTATATAATTATAAGTCTAGATAAATAGCCTTAAAATTGTGCACCCCGTGCACGGGCTCTGTACTAGTATTGCTAATGCCTGGTCTCGAAAATTATAACGAGTCGAGAAAATAAATTCGACGACCCGAAAACGGCTAAATAATCGGTTCTCGCTAAGACTGAAAAATTCTAATAAATTCGATTTATCTCAGAACAATTTCAATAAAATAAAATGTCTAAATAAATTATCTTACTCAAATGATTAAATAGACACTAACGTCTAATTAATCCAAATTTGTCGAGCTTAGAGTCTTTTGATAAAATGCATAAATGACATATATAATCGAGATGTCTGCTAAAATGAAATCGGGGCGCTAGCACCGTCATCGAAATGATCAAGCTATTTTATCAAGCTACTTTAATAAATTTAAATAAAATATGTTACTTAGATATATAAATAATTTATAAATTCAAATATTTAAACTAATTGATAAATAATTTATAAATATCTATTTTATTTAAATATGTAATTTTATTTAAAATAATTTGAAATATAACAATTTTATTTAGAAAATCGTATCGATCGTACCAGTCCAACCAACTGGTGTTGACGGATTGGAGAGAAAATATTTTATTCAAGCGAACTAGACTGGTTATAAATCGGTTCTCGGTCCATCCGGTCGGACTGTGTCCAACCTGGTTTAATTTAAAAACAATGGATAAATCATGATTCGTGTTATTTATATATTTAATTTGTAATATAATCGTAATATTATTTTCTCGTGCATCGCACGAGCAACGCGTTAGTTCATGAATAATATTGAGTAAAAAAATTAAGTCTAATGAAGACTAAAGATGAATAGTGAAGTTGGTGTATATGACCCACAAGTTAGGTAATCACTACGATGTTGCCGACACCAAATTTGACCAAGATTTCTCCCTCTCTTTTTTTTTTTTTTTATTTCAGTTAATGTTAGAACTGTGGTCTTGTTTTTCTCTATTCTTGGGCTCATTAGATGATAAGGATAATTTTTCAAGTACTTCATTTTCTACGAGTACAAAACATACCTTCTTCTTGAGATAGTGCGGAGACCTCAGTTCCGTTTAGTTGGTTTTCTTCCTTCAACCGTGAGGGCATGTATGCTTTTGATGCTTCTATACATCTGTAGATGGCTTTTGACATGAGAAATGGTAAGACCTCTCTCCATCCATTAGCTGAAGAAGGAGCTTAGGAGTAGCCTTGTAATGACCGGCGTGGGTGTAGATATGGGTTGGCGGAGAAATGGTCAAATTGTGGGTTTCATTCATTTTTCTTTTCCATTCATTCTACTCTCACCATTAGAAGAAAGAGGTGATCAATGGAGTGGTGGTGGGAGAGTTGCCGGAGAGATAGTTGAATAAAATAATGATTTTAATAATTCGATTTCTGATACAGAAGATCGTCTATAAGACGTGGCTGTAGAGCATACTTTTGTCATATTACAATCAAGCTCTGCAGAGACTTGTGCTGTTAACGTGTTATAAAACTAGAGAGAATAGAGAAAATTTATTCTATTGGTTTAATTTTCATTATAACTGAAAGTCCTATTTATACGAAACTTCTGATGAGTAATAATGGCAAAATTCACATACATTATTTTATTATTTCATAACAAAAAAGTCTATTTAAATGTGTGACTTAAAAAATATATCTTTTAACTAGGTAATAATCACAAATGCCAAAATGAAAAGAGAAACCACAATATGTAGATTTAGGTCGTCCAGATTTAGGGTTTACTCACGAGTCACTGGGATCCGCCTTTCTCCCAGGTATCAGATTGCAAGCAATTGATTGATATTTTGTCATAAGAATCTTTTGAGTCAAAATTTTGTGCGTAATTTGTGTTGCTTGGCTTCATGATTTTGTTCCGCCACTGGTTTAGTTCGGCGTTTCTTCTTCTTTCTCTTTATGCTTTCTCTCCTTTTGACGTCTCAGACTAGAATCATTTTTTGCATGTTTTATTCCATCGCTGCTTTTATTTCATCAAATCTTATTTTGACGGAGGGGGATTATTGCGAAGGTATGATAAAATGTTTGTTCCATTTATCATTATGGGCTTTATGTGAAACAAATTTGGGTTGGTTAGTTTCTCTCGGTTACTATAGCAGTGAATGCTCTATAAAAATTGATGTATTTCAATGATCTAATATTCTATGCTTTTATTTGGTTAGGTTGTTTTCTGGATGAAAGAGCAACTCAGGGCGTGCTATTTGGTACTAATAGCGTTGGTGCTTAATCTTTAGCGGTCATAGTTCTCTGATTTGGTTGGTGGGCATGGCGTGGTTTAGAGCCGGGTCTAATTTGTCTAAGCTTGCTCTTAGACGAACTCTGTTACAGAGTAGATCTAATGTCGGGCAAGCGCGAGTGGCTCCTGCACAGAGTAGATACTTTCACACCACTGTTTTCAGGTCAAAGGCTCAGTCGGCCCCCGTTCCGCATCCGGTTCCTCTCTCCAGGCTGACTGACAGTTTTTTAGATGGAACAAGCAGCGTATATCTTGAGGAGCTACAGAGAGCCTGGGAGCAAGATCCCAATAGTGTGGATGAATCGTGGGACAATTTTTTCAGAAACTTTGTTGGGCAGGCAACCACATCTCCCGGTATTTCTGGTCAAACAATTCAAGAGAGCATGCGGCTTTTGTTGCTTGTGAGAGCTTACCAGGTTTATGGCCACATGAAGGCCACAATAGATCCTCTTGGTCTGGAGAAGAGGTCCATTCCTGATGATCTTGATCCAGCTCTTTATGGATTTTCGGAAGCTGACCTTGATAGGGAGTTCTTTGTCGGCGTTTGGAGAATGGCTGGGTTCCTGTCTGAAAACCGTCCTGTGCAGACCTTGAGGGCAATATTGACGAGACTGGAACAAGCGTACTGTGGAAATATTGGCTATGAGTACATGCATATTGCTGATCGCGAAAAGTGTAACTGGTTGAGAGACAAAATCGAGACTCCTACACCAACTCAGTACAATCGAGAGAGACGTGAGGTGATCCTTGACCGGCTTATTTGGAGCACCCAATTTGAGAACTTCTTGGCAGCCAAGTGGACTGCAGCCAAAAGGTTTGGGCTGGAAGGTTGCGAGACATTGATTCCTGGAATGAAGGAGATGTTTGACAGGTCAGCAGATCTTGGGGTCGAGAGCATTGTCATTGGGATGTCGCACAGAGGTAGACTGAATGTTCTTGGTAATGTTGTCCGGAAGCCTCTGAGGCAGATCTTCAGCGAGTTCAGTGGTGGTACAAAACCTGTGGATGAAGTCGGCCTTTACACTGGAACTGGTGATGTGAAGTATCATCTGGGAACTTCTTACGATAGACCAACGAGGGGAGGTAAGAGAATACACTTGTCCTTGGTTGCAAATCCCAGCCACTTGGAAGCAGTGGACCCCGTTGTTGTTGGAAAAACTAGAGCAAAACAGTATTATTCTAATGACACCGAAAGGACAAAAAACATGGGTATTTTGATTCATGGTGATGGTAGTTTTGCCGGTCAAGGCGTTGTCTACGAGACCTTGCATCTTAGTGCTCTGCCAAATTACACTACTGGTGGGACCATTCACATTGTTGTGAACAATCAAGTGGCTTTCACTACTGACCCACAATCAGGAAGGTCTTCTCAGTATTGTACTGATGTTGCTAAAGCTCTGAGTGCCCCTATTTTCCATGTGAATGGTGATGATGTGGAGGCTGTTGTTCATGCCTGTGAACTCGCTGCTGAGTGGCGTCAGACATTCCATACTGATGTTGTGGTCGATATCGTATGCTATCGTCGTTTTGGGCACAATGAGATTGACGAGCCATCCTTCACGCAACCGAAAATGTATAAGGCATGTTCAACAATTCTCACTGTTCTCTGTAATGTTATGTTTATCCTCTGTTTATCATACTTTACCATATTTTTCTTTCCCCAGTCAATGTTATCTAAATTAAAAGTCATTCCGAAACATGCTGGCTAACTTGAAGACACCTTTTTGTAGGTCATAAGGAATCATCCTTCAGCACTTGAGATTTACCAGAAGAAACTTCTAGAGTCTGGTCAGGTCTCAAAGGAAGACATTGATCAGATAAATAGCAAAGTCACTAAAATACTCAATGAGGAGTTTCTGGCTAGCAAAGACCATGTAACTCAAAGAAGGGACTGGCTCTCAGCCTACTGGGCTGGTTTCAAGTCCCCTGAACAGCTTTCACGTATTCGTAACACTGGGTAATAATCATTTTTATAAGTTTATAATATCCAATTCTTAATGCCTGTTGAATACTGGATCATAAATATTGTGTTCTCTAGGGTGAAACCAGAAATACTGAAGAATGTTGGCAAGGCCATCACAAGTCTTCCTGAAAATTTCAAACCTCATAGAGCAGTAAAGAGGATTTTTGAAGACCGTTCAAAAATGATTGAAACTGGGGAAGGTATTGACTGGGCAGTTGGTGAAGCCCTTGCTTTCGCTACATTGCTTGTGGAGGGAAATCATGTCAGGTTGAGTGGGCAGGATGTTGAGCGAGGTACTTTCAGCCATAGACATTCTGTTATTCATGATCAGGAAACTGGGGAAAGATACTGCCCTTTAGATCACGTTATGATGAACCAAGACGAGGAGATGTTTACTGTGAGCAACAGGTGTTTGTCTGATTATCTTTCCTTATTCTATACCTATGATATTTCAGAGGGTTTTTGCAGGTCTTTTCTTCGCTTTACTTTGAGAAATTTGTAATGACCATGAATACGTTTTTGTTAATACTTTTGGGTCCTATCCAGTTCTCTGTCAGAGTTTGGAGTATTGGGATTTGAATTAGGTTATTCAATGGAAAACCCCAATTCTCTGGTACTGTGGGAAGCCCAATTTGGCGATTTTTCCAATGGCGCTCAGGTGATGTTTGACCAATTCCTCAGCAGTGGAGAAGCCAAATGGTTGCGTCAAACTGGCTTAGTTGTCCTTCTGCCTCATGGATATGATGGGCAAGGTCCAGAGCACTCAAGTGCTCGTTTGGAGCGCTTTCTTCAGGTGCTGAACCTCTTTTCTCTATTTAGCTGAAGCTTATTTGGTTGGAGATTTTGGAGTTTGTACTGTGTAGTATCCTTTTCTCTTGCACCCAATGCTGCTATCTAAGTGAACGTTTTGTTCCACCTTTTAGTTTCTTTTGAAGGTTGTGTGTAATAATATCTTTCTGTCGGTGCCTTTTGCTTTGTATATTTCTTTGGCACGTTTCTGTTATGTTGTCCTCGTAATGTGCTATAGATTAAGGTTTAGAGAGTCCTAACTAAGTCTATTTATGTAGAGGTAATTTTCTTGAACATGATATTGGACTTGAGACAATCTTTTCCTGCCTTAAGGTGCAGTCTTCTATTCAGTCTTAGGAGCTCAAATTTTATCAAGCTTTTCTGATGAGATAATTAAATAGATTCCTAGTGCTCTCTCTCTCTCCCTCCCTCCTCTCTTATTTTTTATTTCATTTTCCTTTCTTGACTTCGGGAGAGGGATGGAGGTTTAAGAGGCATAGGTTGGATTCTTCATCTTGTGTTCTTTTCCCCCCATTCTGAGGGAATTTCTACTTCGAACTCCCTTAAATATACCTGCTGAATATGTTGCTCAATTCTACTGATGATAGTATGAAAATTGGTATCCCTGTCATTGTTACATTTGTCGGCTTCTTACAAACCGACACGACTGCCTCTTTGACTTTTCTTTTATTCTATTTTCAGCTCACCACTGTAAATTTTACTGTTGATATTGTATTGCAGATGAGTGATCATAATCCCTATGTTATCCCTGAGATGGACCCAACCCTCCGGACACAGATTCAGGAATGCAACTGGCAGGTGGTTAATGTGACTACACCAGCAAATTACTTCCATGTTTTACGGCGCCAGGTAAGCACATCTAATTCTGTAAAGCTTAGTGTTGCTGCAGAAGTCTATTTTCTCATATGACTATTTATGTTACAGATACATAGGGAATTCCGTAAACCTCTGATTGTGATGTCGCCAAAGAATTTACTCCGCCATAAGGAATGCAAATCTAATTTGTCCGAGTTCGATGATGTTGAAGGCCACCCAGGTTTCGACAAACAAGGAACCAGGTTTAAACGCCTGATAAAGGACCAAAATTACCACTCAGATCTTGAAGAGGGTATCAGGCGTCTGATTCTTTGCTCTGGAAAGGTATTGATTTTTATTATTTATTTGAACGAGTGCTTTTCAATACCTGAATTAGTTAGTTATATTGTTATTGCAGTAAAAGATTTTATTTGCTCATATAATTTGGTGTTTTATGTTTTATTTCTGCTAGGTGTATTATGAGCTTGATGAAGAGCGGAAAAAGATTTGCGGAAAGGACATTGCAATTTGTAGAGTGGAACAGCTTTGTCCCTTCCCCTATGACCTCGTCCAACGTGAACTGAAGAGATATCCGAGTACGTATTAAAAATGAAGCACAATTTTTAGTCATGTAAAATCTCATATAATCTCGATGTGATTTGATTATTTCAGATGCGGAGATTGTGTGGTGCCAGGAAGAGCCAATGAACATGGGTGCATACAGCTACATTGTGCCTCGTCTTGGAACTGCCATGAAAGCTCTGGGTAGAGGCACTGTGGATGAAATCAAGTACGTGGGCCGTGGCCCATCTGCAGCCACCGCTACTGGTTTTTACCAAGTCCACATCAAAGAGCAAAATGAGATCGTCCAGAAAGCCATGCAGCCTCAACCTATCAAATTATAACTTGAAATCCCAAGAGATTATTGACTGAGTTTTATAGTTGCATAGTTGAATGGTACCCCGTTTGTGCGGAGAATAAACCTGACACTTCATGTTATCATTCATGACTGTTACTCCCTTTCCATTTTGTGAAACCCATATCGTTAAGATGGTAAATTTTTTGTTGGGAGAGATCTTTTCTTTTTCTTTTTGTTAAACCAAGGCTATTGACAATAATTGAATACAACTCTACTATTTTTTTTACTTAATGGTAGACGTCTAGTAGATAAAGTTAACGGTAATGCAAGATAAATTACTACTACTATAATCAATTTCTTGCTCAGTTCCTACTACTATAATCAATTTCTTGCTCAGTTCATAGCTTAATTTTTTAACTTTGCACTTCTTACATTTGTCTCTTTCCTCTCAACTCACATAAATACTAATATTATTATTATTTATTTATTTTATTTGATAATAAATTAGTCTCTTTTTTTTTTTCTCTCTCTCTTCGTCGTTTCAACTCTCTCTTCGCATCATCTCTCTCTCTCTCTTCGTGCATCGCCCATCCGTGAACACAATTCCCCCTCCCGTTGCCGATCATATCTCCGGGAAGTTTGCCCTTCGTCTCCGGCAAAAAAAATTCACAACCGACAATGTAACACCCCGCCTAGACTTACTAAAAACAGAGTAAATTTTTCGCGCTATAAATGGGAAGTACTTATTTATTTTTCGAAAACATTATTAATTTTCGAAAAGACTTTAACTTTAATACACGGGATGCTACTGCTGAAATCTATTCTCTTTAATTACTATGCATGCAACCAAGTAAAGTTTACTAGAGTCATTCATGCATTCTGAAATTCTGAAATTATAGTTCTGCAATGCGGAAGCAAATATAGTTCGGAAAGCACACACCAACACATGAAAAACATGCAATTACAAAAGACAGTTTAGACATGTTCAAGTGACTAAGACATGTCATATCAAAAATGCCCTGGCTTACGACCACCACCACATCCAGCTCACGCTCCACGCGGGACTCCGTCACCTGAAAAAGAAGGTAGTGGGGAGGCGTGAGCACAAAGAAATCAACGGTGCTCCGCCGGGACCGGTACTGAATACTCAGCACCTTTAATAATCCATCATGAAATTAGCATATATATAAATAAACTGGAACTGACTATATGGGACTAACGGTAAACCGATACTCATGTGCACACTCTGGGGGTCCCCTCCCTCAGAAATCCAGGAAGGCACTAATCGCCACATCTGGACGCTAGACTTAGGATGGGCCCTAATCACACGCATCCAAGTCATAACTGAAATACTGAAATATTGACCAAGACGAGATTACTCAACCGTCTCGGTCCTTCAATTTAATCACATATAGACCTCAGACATGGTAAACTATTAAAAGCAATGAAATACACAGTACAGGATCCCACCTGAAAACTGGCGAATGCGAAATGCGGAAATGCTGAAATGAGTAGCTGACGGAGGCTCGACTCTCCTCAAGCTACAAAATATATTGAGCGAAATATTCTAAGTACTGGGCTCAGAATAAAACTCAAATCTTTAATATCTTATATATCTAGGTTCGCTCATTCTGCTTTAAAAATCATTTTAGGGATATACGATGTAATAGCCCATTTTTACCTAATGTAAATTACGTACTTAGTTTCGTAATATTCATATTATTCTCGGAAATCCAAAGTATAAGTCAATTTATGTTCAATCGCCCGATAAAAATATTATAGAATTAAATCGTACTTAATCGAGCGGTAAATGTGTTAAACTCGCACTAATCGTGCGTGATCATGCGCATAATTGTACTTAAGTGGTCCCTTACGTACATCAATTATGTTCAATTAAACCTAAGTGATCATTCAATTATCCTATGTCCTTAAACATTAGTCATTGCACGGCTAGAGTACATAATTTCTTCCTAAACACCTTAATCTAGGTTAATCACGAGTAAATGAGCCCTAAGCTTGTTTAGCTACTTAATGATCACAAGTGGACGGATAGCTTGGGCAAATCACGTGGGTAAACATCATTCCTAGCACAAGTGGCCTCTTTTTGCCAAGTGTAAGATGACTAAGCAAAAATAAATACACATCGTGGCCCTAGGACGCGGCAAATGGCACAAGCTCATTGGCTATGAATTTTTATCTCACGTTTTCCCCTCTTTCACCGATTATAAATTAAGTGTTGGACATATTTTTCATCTCATAACTTAAGCTATTTCCTAAGCAAACTCTAAACAAGATTAAGATCTTTTAATCCTAGCCTACCGTACACACGTAAAGGAGAAGAAGGGACCGAGATATCCTTGAAATCTTGTCAAGTTTCTTCGGGCAATCAAAGGGTAACATGATACTAACCTTATTATGATGTTATATATATCATGCCAAGTTCAAATTATAGGTCTAAGTTCATGTAATGATCGAAAACGCTCTCGGGTGTGCATTTTAGGGCCATATCAACTCATCTCTTTATGTAGTCAACTTCTCCCGAGCAAACCATGCATCATTAGTCCTTATTTAATGTAATATGTTTATTCTTGAAAGATAGCATGAGATAAGTTATCATTTGGTCGATGAAATGGCTAAGGGAAAAGGACCGCGCACGTAGCGCGCGCCCACGGGCTGTATCTCACCCTATTAGGGTATCTTTCATTGTGATCAACTTTGTTAGGGACATTTGTGTTCCAACAGCCCTTAAAGGATAATATATGGTCAATGAACTCATGTTGCTCGAGAAAAGTTCATGTTTGGTCGAGGGTACACGTTAAGGCCGTCGGACGCGCCTATCGCGCACGCCGTGGCCAATCACATCAATTTTCATGTTATTGTCATGACCCTCAGACCCATGTATATATAAATGTGTTAATCATGTCAAGTTAGGTCATTTTGGTCGAGGTAAGTGGCCGAACGGCCGGCAAGGGCCGGTCACGGACATGCTGCCGCACGTAGCGGCCATGCCGGCAGTGCTGTCCCAGTGTCGTGCACGCGTGACCCCGAGCCAGTCGCTTGTGCCACGTACAGTTAACCTCGGGTCGTGCCAACAGCGCACCCGAGTGTTTAATACCATGCCTCAGTGAACCCGAGTAAGGTTCACAGGCCTCGGGACGTGCCCTGCCGCACGCCCGAGCAATCAGTTGGCCGGGACGTGCCCAACAGCACGCCTGTGTGCCCAGGGACGCCCGGCAGCATCCTGACAACCTTAGCCGCACCCGAGACGCGCGAGTAATGTCTGGCCGTGTCAGTCCTCGCGCCAGTCGCACTCGGGTAGTGTCAGCAGCACACCCAGTGCCCAATTAACCTGGGTACGCGTCTATCCGCGTCCCTCGCGCTCGGCCAGTGCCAAGGCCAGTGCCAGCCGCACTGCCCGCGCCCAGCAGCACCTAGTGCCGAGGTCGGTCGCACCTAGCCCGTGTCCAGTACCGCGCCATGGCCCCAGCAGGCCCGGCCAACCCGTGACCACCCGGTTCAATGTGAACCGGTGGTCCAATCGGTCAGCCGACCCGGTTCACCCAGTTAGTGAATCGGCCAGTTTAGCCGACAGTTCGAGTCCGTTTTGGTTCGTAATTTTTGGTCCGAGTCTTATTCTGAAATTTAAAGTATTTTCCGAGCCAAATCAGATCAGTTAAGCATATCAGTATAATTTCCGGACTTAGAATTATTTCTGTGAACCTTTAGAGCGTTCCTTTATATCCGGACATCATATTAAGTCGAGTCGAGCATCTTAACAGTTAAACTTATTGATTTGAGCATAGTACCTAGTAATTGTTTATATTATGTTACAGTTTGATCAGTTCACGACTATCAGCACTTCCAGTTTCATATCTTCAGTACAGGTGGGGACTCAGACTGGGTATTACATTGATTATAATTACGATATCATGTTCAAGGTATGTCAAATTATGTTTTTCGCTTGGAATGGATGTTGGCCGGTTCAGGTTGCCATAATTCCGTTCTAAGTTCTAGTGGCGTCATCTACCACTAAGGTGTGCACATGGATTCCGGCAATCATTGTTATCATCATTATCATTATTATCATGGCAGCCGGTAGATTCACGGATCCCGGTCCGGTTTATACTGTTGACCAGGAAATTCACGGTTATGTTATATGCTTGTGATCATGATGTACTATTATTATTGCTTTTTACTTTAGTATGAGTTCCTACGGAGTACAGTGGTACTCACACCCCATTTTTATCAAATTTTTCAGGTCACGAAGTCGGTCCGGAGCTGTGAAGTTGACGGATGGATCGAAGTTAAATGTTTTGTTTTGCCACGCTATGTTCCGCTGAATTTCACTGTTTGACAAACTTTGACTTTTGATCCGATTTCATAGTCGGATTGTATATTATGTTAATCCGTTTTGCTTGTAAATTTTAAACGATCGTAACGGATTTCTAAAGATAAAATAAATCTTTTAGTAACGCTCCGAATCATTTTCTTAAACTATTTTTAAAAGATGTCTTTAAAACGTACTCTGATAATTAAGTTAAGGCGGGGCGTTACATACGAGCTGATTTTTTTTGAAAATATTATTGTTTTCGAGGCATTCTAGAATTCTCTGAAATTTTTCTAAGTTTGGAACTAAAATCTGACTTGATCTATCTGACTGAAATCTAACTGTATCTGGATCTTAAATCTATCTAGAATCTCAACTATATCTGAAATCTCAATCTGACTGGATCTGAAATTTATCTCGAACCCTCCGGACTGACCGGACCGATTCGACTAAATTGGACCGACGGCTCACTCGGAGCCGGCCGGTCATTCGCTTAAATATGTGCAACTCGGTTTGACCGTGGTTTGACTGACACGGTTTAGCCGATGCACGAGTTTGAAACGGTGCCACGGTCACTCACGCAGGGGCGTGCTTGGACCACGGCTAATGGAACGACGCGTGAACGGTAGGTCGGATGGACTCGGTGCACGGGCACGCACTCGGTTATTCGGCTCCAACGGTCGGACGAGAGTCGAGCACGTGTGTGAGACGACGATACGCATCACGAATTATCGATACGACGTTTAAGATTATTCAGACGGTACTAGGGTTCGGTTAGTTATATTCGGATCCGGAAAAATACCCGGTTACCGGATCTGGATAAAACTAGGGTTTTGATTCTCGAAATCCTAACTCATTTAAGGCCGATATTTAATATATATATTCTATGTGATTTATATATCAATTTATAATTCACAACTGCAGCTAAAGTATTAACCGGACTATTTTTCTATATTTCTCGAATTAACGGCTAAAGTCCCGATTTTAAATCT